ATATTGTCCCAGCGATCGAGTCTTCTTCTTCTCACTTGCTTCCTGGGACACGGATGTTCGCTTGTATTGGCAGAATGAACATCCTTGTCAACTGCGCGGAGTGAAAATCTGCCCCTGGAGGCTGTTTGCCATCGCCACCTGATGTTGGCTGCGGAAGAGTACACGTATAAGTGTTTTCTGACAGTACAGCGCTGGATTCGCTAGCACTCGTGTAGGCCCTCAGAGAAGTTAGCCAGTGACCGATAGACTTCGTTGGCATTGACTCGGTGATTCATATCAAGGCAGTGGCTGATTCATCGTCGATCGGTGGTGAAAAGGTCAGAAGAGCGTCTGTCGAAATGGTTGTTTTACGGTCAGGTGGCGAGATCGGAAGGACGCTACCAATGTCTAACTCCTAACTTTGTGTATTTATTGTCGGCTGCACATAAACAATCCTACCTTTCATATCAGTCGTGTCGGCTGGGTCGACTAAATCATCATCATCACCATCATCACCACCACCATCATCATCATCATCATCATCGTCTTACAAACAACGTGCACACAGCCCACGTAACTTGACCTAACTAGCCAAAACCTGGGGCGTCTAGTAAATGTGTTCCTCCCAAGACCACCACAGGCTATTGTGGTGTTAGATGCTTCCCACATCATTAAATATGCTTTCTCCCGCCGCCCTGAAACTGGTTTTTCTGAGGTTTGGACAGGAATGATCACCTTCGACTACATGAAGTATAGGAAACAACCGCTTCATCAAACTGAACCGCGAGTTAACTGGGAATTTGGGTGGTTTGACATGGAAAGTTTTCTGCTCATCATAAACAACCTACATTCTTTTCCAAACACCTCGGTTAGTAAGCTTCGCCGTTTATCCCCATAAATCTGACAAAAGCCATCGTTGATGATTGCCATGAACCCAATGTCATCTTAATTATTTTTATGAAAGACGCGACCCCTGAAAAATCGATTCCAACAAAATCACGTAGGGCGAAGCTGCAAGGTCATCTGACGTGACGAGAATATGGGTAAATTTTAATAGAATTGGTCAATATGAGCTCAACTACAATACGTACATCACGGGCACTGACTAAATATCTAGGCAACCATGTTTCGTTGACGCAGCTGCGAGGGCTGCGGCTTGTCAGTGGGTCCACCAGTGCTC